CTGCAGAATCATAAAACGCTAATTTGGTCTCAGAAATACGAAAGGACTTGGTCTGTCTGGAAAAGTGGTGCTCCAGTTCCACAATGGGCTATTTGACGAGTAAGTGCAGTATCAAATGTTACGGAAGTTGTGTTCTATTAGGAAGCTTTGGTGCGTAATCACCCACTTCCAATATGTAATTTTATCTGCGATTAGGGTATGCGTTACTCTTGTACGCTTAATTTCAAAGAACAAATTAGGCATACTGGAGATGAAGAACGACAAACCATTGGAATGTTGAGCCGCTTGTTTACGACAGCTGTGCTAAACTTCTGACTTTCAGTTTATGCCGACCTATTTTAGGATATTGTACGATCACTATTAACAGCATGAGAATGAGAGAAACTGGATATCGAAGCAATCCAGAGATCCTTTAAAAGAAGACTTGTGGGTTGCACACACACTATCTTATAAAGATGGATGCAACCTAAATCTCGAGCCACTGTGACGTCGAAGGTGAAAACTAAATCCATGTCTGCTCCACAAAATTTTCCATCGACAAACGGAAACAAACTTTTTAAGAACCGGAATTCCAAGAACATTCGCCATATAACCTGAGAAACGCTGTTGCACGCGACTCCGAAGTAACTTATTTACGCTCAAATATCCGCCGCTGTGGAATAGATTGCTCTAAACCATCAGAAGTTCAGCATCCATTTGGGCATATAAAGAGCAAGCCAATCACCATACACTAAAAAACATCAAAGAATTGGTTTGTCACAATCGCGTGGATGAGTATGTATATGAATGCGGATCTAATAATATTTGAGCATCTATTTTCCATCCCATCCTCCAACCGCCTTTCCAGATTGTCTACTCCTCCACCCGCATATCAAAATCTTGTCTTTAAAGATTCATCATTCACATTGAAGAAGTAAATGAAATAGACTTCTTCCAAATGGTAATATCGTTTTGTCGTCAGAACATAAATTTTTCCTTCCAGTAGGACAAAAACAGACTTCATTTTCCCTTCTTTATTGATGTATATATATATATATATGCCAGAATGACAGATACTGTTATTTATAGTATTTTATATTTGGCGTTACGTCGCCGCTATGTACTTTATGCTACATCATACAATAGGCCCGTAGCAATGTCTAATTTTACGAGTAACTACACAACTGTTTCATTAGTGTTCCTTTCATTGTTGGCCATGACTCGGCCTAGTTCCTGAGGTGAGACTGAAGCTTATGAGAGGAGCAGTGTAACTTCGCAAGACGAACTGCTTACAAATACAGAGGGCAAAAAGCGCTACACTTCAAAGAGTCAAATGGACGGAACGACCAAAGTGGCCATCCTAATTGCATATGAAATAGCCCGAAATAAAAGTTAAGACGGTAATGACCTGTTCGAATTTAGGTCACACTGGAACGCGGCCGGACTAGGCTGAAGTGCTTATCCTGATCGAAGATAAAAGTGGCCTGAGTGATGAATAAGAGTGGTGATGATGCGCATGATTGCAAGCAGAACCGGCACATTGCCAGATGGGCGTGAAATTGCGGGTAAAACTTTATGGAGGACTACCTCGCATGAAAGCAGGTCTCTAGGAGACCATACCTTTGACTTTTCGTTTCTTTAAAATAAGCTACAGCTCTAGCACTACATTAAGGCACATGTTGCCTCCGGTGGTTGCGAGTGCGCAACATGACTGTGAAATCCTGATCATGCTGGAAAGGGTATTATTCGTAAAACGGAGGATATACCCTATTCATTTATTTAACTGACGGATAGGGTTTGCCGGCCAGAGGCCGACAGAACAAGGCGAGCGCCTCGCAACCCGGAAGTCGTGGGTTCCAGCCCGCGTAAGGGATTCTGCGACCCTTGCAGTATGAGCAGCAAACGCGCGATTCATGGTGGTTGCGTGGCGAAATGCCGGTATGGCGTAATGACAGAGCGGGAGAACATCATAGTAACTATAATGACACGGCAAGGTACAGTATCTTTGCAATTTTTAGCCACATGGAGAAGGGTAGATAATAGATAATTAAAATCGCCTTTGATTAGTGGCATGCGTAAAAGAATTCAAGTTCAAGCTCAAGTTTAGCTGGGACCGGAACGACAGGATAATCCAGTGAATGTTCCTTTTTTGCGGTTCGTAGGATCGGGAATTGACAGGTTGCTTGAGATGCTGAAAAGCCTAAAACAAAGACCCCATCAGACTCTGTCCAACCAATTACTGCCCACGTTTTCCTGCCCGGCAGTCCCTGCCAGGCCGGTTAATGTGAACTAAAAGAGTGAAGGGTAAGCTAAGAAAACAAGAGGAGGAACGTCAGCTAAATAATGAGAACATCAAGGTGTGAGAAGAAAATTACAAAACGAAGGGAAAGTTGGAGATACAAGTCGGTTAGGAGAAGGGGGAGGTGTGGTACTGCCACTCAAGAGAATCTAACTGACGCGCGAAACCCTCAACCGTAGACTCCCTAACGGCGTGCTCCGGAATCGAGTTCCAACGTTCACTAATTCGACGCAACAAGCGAGGTTCCGTCCATACTGGGTCAGAACGCAGTTTGTGCAGCTTCCACGGATGACCTCGGAGACTAGCCAACTTGGCGGGACTATATAGCTAGGACAAGTCTGGACCGATCTTACCAGTTACGATACGGTAAGGAAGCATCAAGTCTCCTCTAATCCTGCAGTAGTGTATTGAGTACATACCCAAGCTAAGCAAACGTTTGGAATACGTTTGTCCTCGTAATCCCTGCACTAACCTTGTACTCACTCAAAAAACTCTTCCATTCCATTTTGTCCCTTACAAGATAAGATGGACAAGCTTGGGTACAGCACTCCAAAATGACAATGGGGCAGGTGGGCAAAAGGCACACAGCCATTACTCACCTCAATGATGGGCCAGGAAGTTCACATCGAACACCGGAGGAACTAAAGTCATCGGTTGTTTTTGTTCTGGAGTCCTGTACATCATTAATAAGGTCGCCAGTTGAATGAGTGTATCTATCATCGATTCGTGTTATACGACCACGAGGCTTCCTGTGGAAAGCTCGGAGAATACGATCTCCCAATTTTCGAAAAAAGTTCGGACGCTTATCTGCAATAAACAAGTTGTACTAGAACTGCCTTCACATTGTGAATCGTGCGTGCAAGTATAATGCAAAATAACAAAAACGCTTACGTTTAGGTGCACCATCACCATGTTTCAGGTGTTCATTCTATAAAATAATAATCCATTAATAACAATACGATGGATTACTCTCTCAGAACCACCCATTTGACAAACATGAGGACGTCCTATGGGATGACGCTAAAGTCACACAACACACGACCTTTACGAGGTCGTCTAATTGGCAGTGTTAAGGTCAGGATCCAAGGACGAAATGTGCTCCTGTCTAGTTCAAGTACAGTTCGTTCCATGGTACCGGAAAAACAGTAAATCGTGACTGTTTCTGCTGGAGTAACTCGTTAATTCCTGAGTTGACTAGCGGTAAATGGAAACTTTCGGCGTGCGGTCTTTTTGAGGTTTTACTTTCAAATGACGGTTTTGGAACATTGTTTACAAATGTCGTGAAAAAATTGACCCTTTTCAACTTTCGCTTAATCCACCTCATTTCGGATCCTCGTTTTACCCGGCTTACGTCGTATCAGATTTCGGGTACTTAACAAACATCGTCCATCTTTTTCGGGTTCAGCCTCTGGTTATATTTCCGTTATTTTGTGCTTTGTATTCCGTTTGGCACCTTGTTTTAACCCGCAACTGCTTCTGTTGAGTGCATTGCAGGTAACGGCTTGTCAGTTTTATGTTTTGTTACGTGTTTCACAGTCTTTGAAAGAATCATGTCGGATTCACTGAACACCGGCGCTAATGTGTCTTCGGCCTTGTTGAACTGCCAAGCTAATATTGTAAGTAACAGCGTGAGATGCCTAAGTTCCGTGACGTGCGAGTTTAGTGGCATGAAATGCTACGTATGCAACTGTTGGTACCATGAGACCTGTTCCGATTTGCGCCCTGAGCATTATGCAATGCTTGCGACTACGGATATCGGGCTGTTCCACTGTCTTCTAAACCCTCGCCGTCGATCTACGCTTCTTGAGGTCCCTGAGGAGTCATCAAGCCACGTCGAGCTGGGGGACCAGCGGTTGTGGTCTTTCCTCACATATCGAGGTCGGAACCTGGAGTTACTGATAAGGAAAATGGGAGTCTCTATTGATAGGTCAGGTCAGGTCAGGTCAAAATCCGTGGACGATACAGGCTTTCGCCTAACAAGCGCCCAGCTTCTTGATATAGGCTCGTTGGAATAATACACGCAATTAACTTAAACGTGGGCCGATGAAAAACCGGCTGCGGTGTTGGCTTCCGTGTCGGGCGTCCCAACATTCCAGAATGCCTCTAAATTGGCCTCTGATCTCATGCTGGAAGCCGTGCAAAGCAAGTAGGAACTTATTGTCCCCGTGCTCAATAGAAGCAAGAGGAAGAGGTTTAAGAATATCCGTAAGGCTCCAACAAGGCCTGAAGTTGCGGAAACCATAAAGGTTTTGGAGGTGGAGCACAGAGCTCCAAAACCAATCACCCCAGTTCTATTAAATTAATTAATAAATATTTATTCCCATCTATGCGCAGCAACGCCCCGTGACGACGCCGGCCAAACCCGCAAATTCTGAGAAGACTAGACCGGTGAGGGATTTGGAGGTAGATTATAAGTCCTCAACCTCAACTGCTACAGCTCCCTGGGGGAATAAACTCGCCATGTCTCCTGCCAAGCAGGTCGAAACTGGGTCGAGTCGAAGGCTCGTGGAGTGAATACACCTAGTCGAGGGGATCCCTTAACTGATAGCAGAGTTATATTTCGTAACCTAGCTAAATCCTCTCTCGATCTTATAAGGGAACGCAGGATGGCTTACCTCCAGTGGTTCAAGCTCCGCGTTAATAAGATGCTTCCACCTGGTTTCCCCCGTGTCACTATCAGGAAGCTAACCAAATAGGTTAACGTCCCTGTAGATACGCTAAATCCGCGACCCCGACTACGTCGTGTGTTCCTCTCAACTCCGGAGGAACACAAAACGTTAATGCACTTTGCATACAAAATCTAGGAAAGTAATGTCAACGTACATCCGAACCTCAGACTAACAAACCGACTGAAGTCAAAAGAAGCCATGTACAGCCTCAAGAGCAGGCGCACGGCTGCTGAGCAAGGTCTTTGTCTTGTGAGTTTTCAGGTGGTCATCTGGGGGTCAAATCCTGCCCTACCAGAACCACTCATGGTAGCATATGACCCAGGGCTGCTCGTGCCGAGTTTCCTAGGGTAGTGCATAGTAAGGTGCGTCGCCTAAAATCCAGGTACACGAGGTGGGTCTACCTATAGATAACACTCGTCCCGACACACTTGCTGTCACCGAAACATGGCTGCCCCCGAATATCACTGATGGTGAAATATGTTTGCCTGGCTACGCACTGCTTAGTTGTGATCGCTTCGTTGGCCGCCAACGTGGGGGCGCCGCAATTTATGTGAGTTGTAAACTTGATGGGTTGAGGACCGGTGTATTCCCGTCGCCAGATCAAACGGTTGTATCCCTGCTTACTGTGACGTGCACTTCCTCTGCTCAGTTTACAGTTGTATTGGTAGCGCAAACTGCTGGAAGTATATCCAGGAAGGTTATTGAATTTATTCGTACTCAGGCTGCTAATAGATTTCTAATATTGGGTAACTTCAACCTCCCTGAAGTTTGCCGGGCTAAGGTATCCTGCAGTTCAGCGGTTGGCACTTTTGGTTCCAGTCTCCTCGAACTAACATTGCAACTGCCTATGCATCACTTCGTGGACCCCCTGCCCAGACATATGCGAAACCAAATTCCGTCGGCCTTGGATCTCATTTTTGCGACGTCACATGCTTTCGTAAGTGAGCTTACTTACGGCTGTCGTCTAGGAGCCAGTGACTATGTCTGTATACCCTTTCGATGTGCTCTAACTAATTGGCATTAAGCTACCGCTGAGGCATGTCCAAATACTTGGCGGGCAGACTTTAAAGCAATGCGCAGCAAAGCTTCAGTTTTGCCTTGCGCGATCACCGTGGCGGACAAAGCTGAGACAGCCTGCGAGAAACTTAAGACATAGCTCACCGCGCTCTCTGCTTACCACATCCCGGTTTTTAAGAGACGGGAGACACGGGCGCAGCCTCCTTGGATAGCTCATATAGGTTAATAACTGCTCAGAAAGCGCTCTTAGTGTTGGCAATCTTACCAAGCGGCTACATCAAGCAGCACCGACGAAAGCTATCTTGCGGTTAGAAAGAATTGTATGCAACAGCTTAGAACCCTGCGTCTTTCGTACGAGGAGGGTTTGGCTAACGCAGTTGTAACAAATCCAAAGAAGTTCTTTGCTTACGTAAAGCGACGTAGCGGTACAAACTCGTCTATACCGGCTTTACCACATGTGAACGGAACCCATGGGCATGGCGACTATGGTATTGCTTGTATACTTGGCGAACAGTATACTGGCGTCTTTGCTCACGAGGCCTCTCCACCTCAGATTGACCTGGTCACAAAAGTTCCAGAGGATCGTTGTCTAACTGAAGTCAGCACAACGGTCTTTGGGTTATTGCGAGGGCTATAAGCAAAGTCTCTCATTCGACTACTGAAGCAGCGGGGTGGCAGAAAAGATATCCCGGTTACTACCTTAGTGCTTCCTGATAAAAGTATAATCACTGGTGCAGTTGATCTCTGCGAGTTCATTAACACACATTTCTGAAACTCCTTCTCTAGCAATGACTTGGCACTGCCAAATACGATTTCCAAGTTTACTGAAGATCAAATTCATACTATTGACTTTGACTTATGCATTATCAAGCGAGCACTTTGCTCGTTGAAACTGTCACACTACCCAGGTCCCGACGGTATGCCTTCTTCCATTTTAAAACTCGGAGGTCCGGACATTCCAGTCCTTCTTCTCAATGTCTTCACCCTCTCAATGAAGAGTGGTCACTACTCGTCCAACTGGAAGCACGCAACCGTCATACCACGACACAAACGAGGCTGTCGCCTAAATATTGACAATTATCGTCCCATTAGTCACACAGCTATTGCGTCTCGACTCATGGAAAGAATAACAAAGACGCGCTGCTTTGCTTTCTGTTGCCATGCAACCTTATCAATAGGTCCCAACACGGGTTCCTGCCGACTAAATCCTGTCCAACCTGCCAGTTTGAATTCTTAAACCACGTGATACACCCCATCGACCTAGGTCAGGCACTGGTTATTATCTTCCTGGACATGAAAAAAGCGTTTGATCGGGTCCCACACAATGGTTTAATGACTAAACTAGCAGCATACGGTTTCTCCAGCCATCTCCTTTCATGGTTTTCTTCCTACCTTTCCAACCGAAGGCAGTCAGTGCAACTGGGCGACATCTCATCCAAAAAGGCATCCGTAACCAGCAGAGTTTTCCAAGGCAGCGTTCTGGGTCCTCTGCTGTTTTTTCTGTACATTAATGATGTATTCCAGGCCTTCAAACACGGCACGCCGTACCATTTTGCCGATGACATAAAAGTTATTTTCTCATTTGACCCTAGCTGTCTACGTAACAGTCTCTCTAGCATTCAAAGCGATCTCAGTGCTCTTGAAACATGGTGCGATCTATGGAAACTAGAGTTTTCACCAAAGAAATGCAACGCCCTTTCCTACCGATGCTCCATACCCCCCAAACTATTAACTCTTAACGGTACACCACTTGCTAACAACTTCACTGTGCGCGATCTCGGTGTACACTATTCCTGCTCATTGAATTTTGCGGAACAAGCGAGCTATAGCTCTGCCAAAGCCTGGTCTATCATTGGTTATATACTGAAGTCAATGTGCTTGTTAGAGTCCCGACTCACGCTCTATAAGTTGTGTGCCAGGCCTATTGTAGAGTACTGCTCAATCGTTGTTACTAACTCTCGTAAAAGTGACAGGATGTTTATTGATAAAGTCCAGCGTTCGTTCACTAAACGTCTATTAGGAGCATCTGCGCTCAACTATCAAGGCCGCTGCAAGCAGCTTGGTCTGGAACCGCTTTGGCTGCGACGACTTAAAACCAACCTTGTTTTCCTATATAAGCTAATCAAAATATCGGACTCAAGTGTCGCTAGTTTTTTTTCAGCCGCCTGGCGACACACGTTATCCTCTACGCCATAAGGCACACTCATTTTCCTTACCCAACACACGTTGCTCCATACGTTCTAACTTCTTCCTCTATAGATATGCGCATGGCTGGAATAAACTACCGGAAGCCGTCAGAGCATCTGATAGTATCACGCAATTCTCCACGGCCATATATAGACTATTAAGCGTCCCCAAGGTAGCAGAGATCCTGGGCATCTGCATCCCCGAGGACGAGCTCTGGGAGAGCGGCC